GAGCTTATTAGAAATAAGGGTGAGAAAATACCTTTCCAATGACACCTCTTAGGTCTAAATCGGAAGAGTTTAGGCTCAGTTATTCAAGTTTTTCTTATATCAAACTTTGAAAAAAGTTAAAAAACAGCATCAAAAATCTCATTACGATTCCGTTCAAAATTTTTTTTTTTAATATTTTATAATATTTTTATGCAAGTATTTTAAGCTTAAACCGTTTTGTCATCTGAGGGGATTTTTCAAAAAAAAAAAAGTTCAAAAAACTATTTTTATTCATAAAAAACTCCATTTTTGGAGGTATTTTCAAATCGGTCCAGCTCACTTAAATCTTAATATTTTTCCGATATATTTTGGTGGACGTCTTAAAATATAATAGATTTTATAATTCCAATGGAAAAATAGTACCGAATTTTTTTTTTGTATGGGGAGAGACGCAGTCTAATGTACATACATACATACATCACTGTAGTACATACCCAACAAGCATTTCAGTTTTTTTCAAAATAACTGAAAGTAAGTTTGCTATAATAAGCGTTAAATAAGCATTTTTAATATTAAGCTTATTAAAAGTTTTTTCAAATAAACCTTTATTAAGTTTTGAGAGCGAATGTTTATAAATAACTTAAACTTATAAATGAAATGCAAATGCCAACGATATGAAGTAGTAGATATTTCATTTTTTCAATTATAAGTGACGGTTTACGTTTTTTAAAATATATTATTAAAAGAAAAAATTAAATAAAACCGATGCGGTAAAAAAAAATCCAATCTAGGACCCGCTGCGCTAATCGGTGGAGCATTGAGTCTTCAAATGATGAGTTCTCCTCATCCTTTTTTAGTTTAACATTCAATTAAAAATGTATTAAATTTTTTTCAGAAAAATTCATCAAGGAGAATGGCGGCGATGAAGCGGAATATATAGCTGCATCGATGTCGTTTTTCCGCATGTAATTGAAAGCACGCAACAAGATGTAATAATTAACTTTTTTATGCTTAATTTTTGTGTGTTATCGTGAATATGTATGCTAAAATGTCTATTCCCTATTTATATTTTCGCGACTGTAGATGAGTCCGCCAAAAATTCGCATTTCTTTTAGTTTCTAGATGTTAAGCAATCTATGTATGAGTTTTTAATGAAATATCTTTAAATAAAGGGTTATACAAATTTGTATAAAAAGCTTTCTTTTGAAAATTTTTAGTAAGTTTATATTCATACGCTTATAAACAACTTTTTTTGAACCTTTATTATAAGTTTACACTCTTACGCTTATAAAAAGCTTTCTTTTGAACATTTATTACAAGTTTATATTTCTACGCTTATAACCAATGTTCCTTTTCGATTATATTACGCTTATTTTCAAGCGTTTTATAAACAAAAAATCAACGTCTTGTAAGCTTAATGTTTATAATTGAAAAGTTAAAAAAAACTTTCTTTAAGTTTATTTTGCTTGTTGGGTATACCAGACAGTCTGTAGCTTCGTCCGGCGACCACACTGGTGCTGCGTAGTTTAAAACCGGCCGGCCTATTGCCTTGTATGTTGCCAGCAACGTTTCTTTGTCTTTGTCCCAAGTACTGCCGGCTAGCGACTTGAGGACCTTCTTGCGGCTCTGTACTTTATTGACAATAGCGGTTGCGTGCGCAGAGAAGGAGAGCAGGCTGTCGAATGTTACTCCGAGTATTTTTGGATTATTACCGTTGGAATTGGTGTGTCATCGACGTGAATTCCCAGCGGTAGCCTGACCTCCTTCGTCCAGGTTGTGAACAGGGTCGCAGAGGATTTTGTAGGGGAGAGGGCTAGACACTTTGCAGTGAAGAAGCGAGCAAGTTCGGAGAGATACCCGTTTACTTTCGAACACATGTCATCAACTCCATTCCCAGTCGCCATAATCGAGCAATCGTCGGCGTAAAAGATAATCGAGACTCCCTCTGGTGGTTGAGGGAGCTTTGAAATGTAAAAGTTAAACAGTAGCGGGGAAAGGACACCACCCTGTGGAAATACGGGAGCAGCAAGGCCTCGAGTGTCTTCGCTACCGGGGAAAGGAGTGTTATCGGCCGATACGAATCTCCTTTGTTGGCAGGTTTCCCCGGTTTGAGCAGTGGGACCACTCTCCCCACCTTCCAGACGTCTGAGATGATGAGAGTCGCCATTGACAAAATGAGAGAGCAAGCGTTCATTCAGCAAAAATTATCCAACACGAAAACATATGATCACAAAACATATGGTTGCAATTTTTGTAAACAAACAAAATTGCATTTTCCGAGTTTTGGTATTTATATGCTTTCTGGCTGCCTGCTATGTGACTTTATGATAGCGCCAACTAGTTTTTACTTCTAGAAATGTTCCTGGCGAACATTGAACGTTCACTATCCTTTTTTTTCTATGGAGGCAACATGAATTTCAGTTTGTTTACAAATAAAACATAAATAAAGTCAGCTGGTGTGTCTTCTTCTTCCGGTTTTTGCAAGTAATGGGTAATTTCCTGTTCGTTTACTTGTTTGCTTTTTCATCTCTTTGGGAGAGAATTTTCGCTTACTCTCTTGATTTTGATTGTTGGCTGGTGTTGGCTAATTTTTAGTCTGTTCCTTTGAACTTCGGACTAAAACCTGTGGAACTGTCAAACTACAATTTTACGCTCTCAAATGAGAGTAAAAGGAGAACAGATGCAGAAGTGCATAGGAACGCAAAAAGCACTATTTCCTGTAAAAACGTCAGACGGTTTGTTTACATGTCACTGGTACTACACTGATTTGGCTGAAATATCACTAAATAATTATTAAAATCTATACATATTCAAATATTTCGTTGTTTACTTCCATTTTTTAACAAATATAAGGTTCTTTGCTTTCACCGCTTTCTGTTTTTGTCTGCACATGTAAATCAGCTGATCGTTCGACACTTTTCATGAACTTACAGGAAAAAAATCTCCGGACTAAATCCTGTAACTTCTGACTGCTCAGTTACTCTCTCAAATGTGTTCCCACTTACAGGTTTTATGTCAATAGGAACGACTTCCTGTAAGTTCTGACTAAATCCTGTAAACCGGACTGCTATTGGAACAGACTATTTGTTATCGAACGCAACTACTGTCAAATACACCGTGAACGCCATTTTTTGTTTACATAGCAGTTTTTTTTTATGATTGGCGATCTTCTAAATTTTGCTCAAATACACCAGCAAATTTAAAAAAATACTTTCAAAACTTGATATTTCTTCGCTAGGATATATTTAATAAGGTGAAAATGCAGATGCACTTTGGTTTTTGCTTATTCAAATTTGAAATCATTTGGATGCTGATGGTTTGACACTCTACCAAATTTTACCAGCAAAAATTCTTCAAGAATCTTGCAACTTCTGACAAAGAGAGGACCGCTTTCACTCTCCCATTTTTCTCCTACTTTGCCAGAGAACCGAGTACTGGAGCGCTTTCTGGTAAAATCCTGTAAATTATTGCAACTTTTTGCGAGTTAGGGAACGCAACTAATAAATCTTTGAAATTTGTGTATTAAAATTGATATTTTATACATAAATTTTACACATTTTTAGTATAATTAAAGAATAATTGCTTTTTGGTTCCAAAATGAGTTAACAATATAGTAAATATAGGCCCCTATTATGAGTTGCATTCGATCTTCATTTGGTATCATGGTGAGTAACGATTCGTGAGAGGATGAGAGTTTAGAAAGCTGGCCAGGAGCAGAAAACGTTTAAGAGAGTTTAAGCGTAGTCTTCCGAATATATTTTGACATACAATATATCTAAGAAAATTTGTGATCCAAATCTATTTAAAATATGTATATTAAAACTATAAACAGCTCTATGATTTTGTTCTCAGAGATCGTGCCAACAGAGTATTGGGATTTTCTTTCATAAGTAAAACCAGCCTTTCGAACTTGTGTTTAGTATTCACGATGTTAGAACTGCATGAAATTAATAAAACTGGTTTAAAATTAGTGTCTAGCTGCGAAAAAAGTAAGAAAAACAAATGCAAAATCATTTATTTTCACAATTTGCTAAGACCTCGCTGCACCAACGAAAGCAAAATTCTGTTCGACAGAAAATTCGATACTCAACAAAAATTTCGACACGGTTGCATAGCTCATAATAGAAATTTCACTTTCGATCTTCGATAGCCAGCGAGGGAAACAGCCTTCACAGCAGCACGTATAACAAGTGGCGGGTAGGCAACACAACTCATTAACACCACACATTCCAAAAGCACACGAAGATTTTACAATTTAACTGCAACGGACTTCAGAGCAAGGTCGAGGAGATAACAGTCTTCATGTGTCGGCACGGAATATTAATAGCTGCGGTCCAAGAGACTAAGCTGCATGGCAATTCAACATTGTTCATTGTTTCATGAATTTTGGCTAAAATTAGCTGCATAAACACAATATCATGAAATCAATTATACACGAAAATTAACCATGAATTTGGGCACCATTTCATGAAATCGCGAAGTGGAAATCCGACAAGGCCACGTTTAACAAACAACTAGGAACTAGGGTTAGGAAGTTTTTAGACCAAAAGCATGTAGTGGCATAACCATGACTTAAAACACTGGAAAAATTACTTGGATTTGTTCATATATTAAAGAAATTCAAATGCCCCAAAACCAATTTAAACATAACATGGACCACTTCTTGGTTCAACGCCTTTTGCAAATTCAAAAAAAAAAAGAAAAGAAAAAAAATTCGAAAGAAAAAATCACAACCCCACTGTGTAGTTTCTCGCTAATGTGGTGCCACTTTTGCAAGACACTTCATTTCATGTATTCGCAAATTATGCATAAGCGGAAAAAATATGAGTCTTCTTAAATTGTTCAAGGAACGTGTGAATTTTATAGCAATTAAATCCACTTTCAAGCAGCCTGGGCGATTTGAGTTGGAATGACCCCATTGTTATTTAGTAGGTTAATATTACAAAAAGGAACTAGGTTTTCTTAAAATAAAAAAATAAAAACAAAATATGTATTTATTAAACACTTCATCATGAGAAAAAATTAAAAATTAGATACTTGTATTACAAGTCTGACAGTGAGGAAAGATCTTTTAATAAGTTTTCTGTTGTTTCGTTGATAAAATTACGCCAATTGTGCTTAGTTATGGAATTGGACGTTTGTTGAAGCTGCTGGATCTTATTTTCTGTATCGATTTGAACTTCTTCCAGTAGATTGACATTACTTAACACGCGTAGGAGGGTTTCGACGTTTCGTTTAAAACTGTAGAGTAAGAAATAATTATAATAACCATTTTTCATTGAAATTACTGTTTGAGTACCATTCAAATTGTTGTGTTCTTCGCTGATAAGCCTCATATTGCCAACCCAATTGACGAGCGAGTCGTTCAGCATTCCCTTCCAGCTCTAACAATGATTTGCGCTCGCGCTCAATTTCGTTTACCATACTTTCACCGACGTCGCAAATTTTTTTAATGCACACACTAGCCGAATTTTTGCTGATGTTAGTCTCCATTTGTTCTAACTCGAAATTTAAATTATCTTTATAGGTTGTAAGTAAATTTGATGACTCTAGAACAAAAACAACAAAAAAAAAAATACCAATCATAATATATTTTTACTTTTTAGCCCAAATAGCACATATATGAAGTTTTATGGCCATAGGATAATGATAACTCGTGCCGACTTTTAGTTGAGGTTTTAGTTAATAACCTGAATTAATCGTGCATGAAATCTTTGGAAAAATTCGATATCTTTCCCATATTTTAGCGCATGTCTAGTAAATCTGAGTCTTTAAATTTTTAATTGGACGGCACGATCTCTCCCGAGGACATTAAAAAAATTAATTAAACCTTTCCACGTAGGCGGCCTTTGGCCGCACTTAAAAAAATAACCCTCATAAGTCAAACTTCAGATACGCGGTCCACAATATTAGGTGCATTTTTTTGTTAGCGAGCGACAAAAGAACGCTCAACTCGGGTAAAATTTCCTTTTAGCTACTTAAGCCACCGTGTTGGTAGCTGGCCATAAACATGCGATTAGTTTAACGGGATTTAGATACAAAAACCAATGACTAATTATGCGTGGTATTTGCGTAATATATACACACTGAGAAAAAAAACGCGTTGTAAAAATGAAATTTTTTTATTTGATTACCGTTTTAAAATGTATTCAATTCAAATACGCCCGTATTAAAATGAAGCTTTTTCCACTGCACGGATGGCGTTTTGAACGTCTCGGATGCTTTTTTTTTATGTAATTAAGAAAGTATATGTATGTATACAAAGCATGCACAGCGGTGACAACACATACATGGTACATGTTTATCTGTACAAAAGCACTAATCGCACGCTGTGATGTTAATTCAAACTAGAGATGAGCACGGGCCTAAATTTTCGGGCCCGGCCCGGCACGAGTGCAAAATCAACTTTCAAAAACACGCACGAGCCCACAAGAGCCAACTTTTATTGTATGTATACATATGTACATACATATGTACATTTACTTAATCGAATCAAGTTTTTACATCAAAGATTTTTATAATATATTTTCTGGGAAGTAGAAAAAGTGGAAGGTATTTTATTGTACAGATATGTAAACAAAACTAATAGGTATCTTATTTTTTCTATCGGTTTCCGAATATTTCTTATTTTGCTTTTCTCTTATCAAAAGAGTTTTAATATGTACTATTCTCTTTGAATAAAAACAAAAGCTTATCTAAATTTTTAGTATTAGCAACGGGCTTTTTCGTGCTTATTCGTGCTTTTATGAAATTTTACTGAACGCCCATGCACGCACGAGTTCGTGCTGAGAGCAAATGTTCCGGCCGGTGCCCGCGGGCTAACGCAGGGGCAAATTTAAAACGAGTTGGGTTAGTGCTCTTTCATATGCGTATTTTCTTAAATTTAGCACGTTTTTCTTAATTCTAAAATTTTTTCCCTCAGTGCATTTATTTAAAATATAAGTCACGTATATAAGGAAACAAAAATGTCCCTCTCCACTTTCCCATTAATAATTCACAATATAGCAGTTTTTCAAGTCGCGTATTTTTTAACCGAACTGGCTGAACTCGGATAAATAGCCGAGTTTGTGTTGTTGCTTTGCGTGTGTTTCGTCACTTAAGCGAGTGTTCTTTTGTATCTCGGCTGCAAAATAATGCACCTAGTGTTGCGTCCAACTTTTTCACATTTTACGGATATATTGGATCTACATAGGTAGCCAAGGAAAAACTAGTTTGTCCTAAGATCGGGTTTGGCCGGTACCATATACATATATTAATAGGATTTAAATTAAAAAAATCAAAATTAAAAATCTTGAAGGATAATATCTTTAAAGGACATTTTTGACATGAAAACAAGGAAAACAAAAGTTATGATTAATCTTGTTTTGAATTTTTCTTTTATTTAAGTTTTATTCTATATTTTGTGTAAACTTTTAGAAATAAATTAAAATTTTTGGTCTCAATAACAACAGTTTATAAGGCGAACTTAGCACAGTGCGTAGGCAACTGGCTAAGTCAGCTAGGGTCGTTGCATCGAATCCCACTGTAGAGATCTGATGAGGAGATGTGGTGATATCCGAAATATCTATCACTTCTACCATTTTTATAAATTAGTAAAAAGAGTAAGTTAACAAAACACGCGAACTGCACAAAGATTATTCTGATAACTTTGATTGCAAGTCGTCACGCACGGTGGGTCGGAACCAAGTTCAATCCAAAGGTCTTGGCACTTAAGATTTTCTTATGAGACTCTTTTCTATTTTGTTTTCTAAGTAATTTAAGACGAAAGGGGAAAAAATCTAAAGCATAACAGAAAAGAAGTTCAGAAGAAAATTTGAAGTGCCAAGACCTTTGGATGGAGCTTGGATCCGACCACCGTGCACGGGTTGCCGTGGTCCGAATTGCATTTAATTTTATTTGGATAGTTTTTAAGACAAAACCAATAAAATGAGGGGTATGCGTTAAAAAAAGAACTTTGGTCTTTTGAGACAGTCTAATGTAGCTTATATTATGTAATAAAACTTCACAAATTTATGAATAGAATAAAACGAATCACCATTCATCCATTTTTGACCGGTACTGTACATAAAAAAAAAATATTCCGAAGAACTGACAACCTCCTCCTTTTTTAGAAGTCAGATAAAAATGCTTAAAGATATTCCCAGAAAAACAATTTTATAGTTATTAGTTTGCAGGTACTTATATGTATGTAGTTTTACAGCCTTGCCTTACTGTCTATTCCCAGAGAAGGTTAAATATAGAGAACGTACGAAAACTCTGACTGGCATTTTTCGAGCCAATTGAACGGCCGAAGTGCATCCAGACAACGTTAAATAACATACTTACATAACAACATTAATAACATACTGCAGATAAATTTGCCTTTCGTAAATATGTATATTTTTATTCACTGCTTTATATACACCCCTATTCTGCAACTCTTTCGTATTCGGATTTTGCCATGAATCGTAGAAATAGTATGCTGCAATCCGAATCATATTTTCGAATTTTCGAAATTCGTAACAAAGGCATGCCTAAAAACGAACGAGTAAGCTTTTTTGCGTAATTTTGTACGAAAACAACTCTGTGTCGGAGGCGAAATAAAAGATGTAAATCGATGTGTGTTTGCAAGAGACATTGGTGGTATTCATTTAAACAGATAAATTTGCCTTTCGCATATACGTATATTTTTATCCACTGCTTTATATAAGCGAGCAAAAAAGAATATTTGTTGCCCCTTATCGAGAAACTTGGGTCCGGTTTAGTTAATGTACAACGATTTTGGGTTGTTGTGTCCAAACGCATAACCCAATCCAAAAACTTTAACATACACGTGTAATAAAAGGATTCACATTTTATTTAAGATAAATGTCTCAAATTTCCTAACACTAGCTTATTAATAAACTCGGTTTGCACTATGCACTTTTTTACAAATTTCGACGTGGGTTCTGCGCAAAAATACTGTGGACGGCGTAGCCGGAGTGATATGCACAAGAAATGTTGTATACCTTTGACATGCGGAAGCCCCTCTTCCCCGCAACACAGAAATGAGAATTCTACTTAATCCCTAAGCGCGGCCGAAGGCAGAAGCAAGCGCAACAGGAGGTGGACCTAGCAAAGTGCATGTTTTTAATGGCTTGGAAGAAGCTGTTATTGCATTAACTGGATTGAGAGCCAGTTCTTCAGGCATAGGAGGAGTTATGGCCTGTGGTTCAACAATTCAACCAGAAGCTGGCATAGATGCACCCATGGTTACTATGCCCAACAGCTCCGCATATCTTTGTGAAATTGGATTTTTCGTTTTCGTAGTGTAGCTACGAATTACGAATTACGAAAATTCGGGTTCTAGAATAAGGGGGTATATTTTCTACCATATTTACCACCAAAGGTAAAAATCTATCTACCAATATTTTGCGACAAGAAAGTAAATGGATTTAAATGAACATAGATATTTTGTCATCGAACACACCTAAAATAAAAATGAAATGTTTACTTTGACATTCCTGATCGAATCAAATTTTATACGAAATTTCTTTTGGAGCATTCGGTAGAGTTCGCTTTTTCAATTCAAATTGAGAAGAAAACTGAGTATGCAGTTTTTAGCCCATTAAATTTTAGTATAGAGGCATTTTATGTCACCGCGGCCACCTCTGTGCGCGACCTATCAGGATTTGGATGAAAGTTAAAGAGATTGAATATCTAGGTGACATTAATATACGTGCAGCATATTTTGCCGATATGACGTAGGGTTGCCTATTTACACGGGACTTAAATTTTAAGAAAACGTCACACATACCTTTCTTTAAAGTGCTGTATCTTGGAAACCTTTTCATAAAACTTAATGAAAAAAATGTATTCCTTCTGTCTTATTATGGCCTTTAATTGTACATTTTTTAAATTAATGAGCAACGTATACAAAAAAAATTAAACATTTCTCTTTTTTTTTGATTATAGCATTTTAAAAAAATTAAACATTTTTCTTTTTTTTGATTATAGCATTTTAAAAAATTTTTATTTTTAGATAAAAACAATGTCTATAATGTCAACTTTAAGTACCCAAATGGGCGTAATGGGCTACTTAGGCGTATGGACAGTAGATCGTCTAACGCTCGAGCAATATGATAAATAGACATTGAAATTTTATAAAATTGTATATTTTTGAAAGAGGGGTGTAAAAACAAAAACAATATGAATAAATCATGGTAACTTTACTAAAGGTCTGAATTAACGAAAATCGCTTCAAATGGCGGAATTCAACTTTGTTGCAAGTTCACATAGGAAATCTGCTTACGACATGATTGGAGGTAATTTTAAGAGACTAGCAGCTAGAGCAAGTCTTCAACTCATGATGTTACAACAAATTCGTACACCCGAAACCCTCTATCATGGGGCGCCGTATGTTTCCAATGGGATGCCTGTAAAAAATAACTGCAACTAACTTTTCAGTGGACTTTATTTCGACGCATTCAGCTTCTGCTTAAGTTTAGGAGAGCGAATTCTTCGCCATGCCCTTCTTAATTTGCGTTTTTTACTTATTCAGTTAGGAATGTTTTTCACATGACTATTTATATTATAGGTATATCGTTACTTAAAGGTGAAAAGGTGCCATGTCCATTTTTTGAAATTGTTCAGGAGACGACAAATAGATGTAGTGCAGTGGGGACGAAAAATAGATGCATCAAAACGTGAAATTTGAAAAAAATGGACTTGGCACCTTTTCACATTTAGGTAGCGATATAACGAGCCCTAACCGAAAAAAAAAACTTAAGCGACATTTTTCAAAAACTTTCTTTTTGATGCAGAAAGGCCACTAGAGCATCTAGATGCAATTCTGCATCAAAGGGAATATTTTGAGAAAAAAAATGCCGCCTACGTTTTTTGGCGGTTAGCGCTCGATAATAGCCCGAAGCCCAAATTTCGGCTGAAATTAAAAGCAAGTTATGTTTGTTTATTTTATAATTGTCAAGGTTAATTAGTGCTCATTTACACATGGCGATTTTAGTTGCGGCAACTCTACGTTTGTAGGAGAGAGCATGACGAGAAAAGGAGAGGGGCACCGAGTTGCTCGTGCTCGGGCAACACTCTTTGTGCTCTCGTTCGTCTGTATAAATTGAGTTAGCGGTTCACAGCTGACAACAACAATTGCAAAAAAGTCGCCGTGTGTAAATGAAACGAGCAACACCAGAAGGCGATATGAAAAATCGCACCGACAAAAGTTTTCGTGTATAAACACAGACTTAGGAAATTTATTATTTTATTATTATATCGCACGTTCAATAATATAGAGATGTAACTCAAAATTAACGTTTTTGGAGATTAACAAGCCTGATAAGTAGAATATGTTAAGCGAAGATATGTATATTTCCATCTGTATTTTGGTATACCAACTGTATGAATTGATCAAACTTTGATTGCGTTTTCCCACAAAATTTAAAAATAGTTCTGTACATTGCTAAACGAGCGATATGTTGGAGTAGTAACAACGCTAATTTTTATGCCATTATATGGAGGGCAGTTTATTTTTATTTTTATTTATATTCCTATAGTCCAGCGAATAAAGAAGTTCCAAAATCTTGTAACGGTCCTTTTTACGAAAAAAACCTGGTTGCCGAGTTTGTAGCTTAGAAAATTAAACAAAGGATTTTTTAAAAACTGCATACAAAAAAAAAATTCGGCCATTCGTTTTTAGAATTCCAAACACGATCATTGCAAATACAGCCATTTTATTTTTGGTGTTTTCGTTTTTACCAAAAAGTGTCGCCTTTTGACTGCTACTTCCTTTTTTCGTGTTCGATTCTAAAATAAAGGCAAACGGTGAGAAAATGTTGTGTTCGTTTTATAAAATGTTACAGGAGTAAGACAAAAAAAGGCACATGCTTCTCTGCCCTTTGAAGCTTTTCCAGGGGGATGAGCGCGCTGAAAATCAGACGGTTGCTCAAAACGACAATATTATGAAATGTATGAGCTAGACAAGGACTAGAAGATAAAAACATGCCCTTTTACAGGGTTGAGTTTAACATAAAACCCATTTGGCACCGTGAAAGGGCAAATTTTTTCGAAGAAACGAAATCACTATTAGATACCTGCATGCATTTTTCATCAAGGACTTTTTTCCTGCAACTTAAATAAGAAATGCGAATATGACACCCAACATCTCTACATTTTTCATGTTTTCGATGTCTTGAAGAGTGAACACCAGGTGTTGTATACTGTCGTCTAGTTGTATATTGTTGAAATTTCACAACTATGCCCTACGCGCCAGCAGCTCATCAAAAGTGTAGAAAATATGAAGCCATTGATCGATTTTAGAGAGACTTCGTAAAGGTTTTTGGGCTCGCATATTTGGAAAATTCAAAATGGTGGATACACCACCCGGATGATTTCTAAGGACATGCGACCTGCAATACTACGTACAAGACCCACCTAGCGACATGTATTTCGAGGCAAACGGACCTCAGATTCGGATTCAGTGGGTGGAAATATATATCGGTAGATGGGTCTGGTTAAAAGCACACACAACTTTTTTTTGTGTGCCTTATTAGATAGTCTAGTCCAGGGATGGGCAGATTTTTGGCTCTTAAAGTAGTCAAAAAGTCAGCAAGTACTACTCAAGATGTAAATCAGTTCTCAGGATAAAGGGGGTGTAAAAAATACATTAAAAGCGTCATATATATTAGTAATAAGTTGGAGTACAAGACATTTTAATGCGCTCTTCTTCCCCCTTCATGCTGACTCTTGATGTTACCCCTCATCTAGCACCTAAATGTGCCAGGCCGGTTCCTAAGTGCAAAAGGCTCCTGGGAGCCACTTAGCTCATCCCTGGTCTAGTCCATTCAATCAATTTCAGAACTTTATTTTGGACATTTTTCGCCCCGTTTTGATTAGCTGCTAGTCTATAGTGCTATGGTGTGAAAATACAGCCCTTAACAATACGGCAGTATGCAACACATTGTGAGCTTCCTAATCGTTATTAAAGAATACCTTGATTCAGGGACTTCGGTGTTAGCGCTGTTATATTCGCGGATGTCCGGCAGGAATTATTCAGACTGATTTCTTTCTTTTCTTTTACAATGGTTGTAGTAGTTTTAGTGGCTCGCGAGCAGCTTTGCGAAAGGTTTAGTGGTGTGTTCGATATGCCTGCTAAATTGACTACAAATTCTTCATGATGAACAACGCGATCTCGCTGGGTGATTATGGATGTTGCTGTGGTGCTGACATGACATTTAGTTACGCTGGTAGTTTTTTGAAAATTTTTCATCGGCACTTGTGGCGTTACAAACTCGTGTTGTGGTAATTTCAAAGTCTGCGAATTTGGATTAACTACATCGTTGTGTGAAATGGTTGAGTACTCGCTATCACTATCGTTTTCTGATCTTGAACAATATATAAGACTACTTTGAGGTATTAACATATTAGATTCCTTAGCTTGATTAGGTAAGTCACAGAAATTTTTCTTAGTGACTGACTTTGGGTTACGCTTATTCGGTCGCTTTGTTTGAATAGTTATATTTTTAGTTGACTCACAGTCAGATGTAAACAGTATATCGGAGATATCCATCAAGCTGGGAAACGTCGGACAATCGCTAAACTCTTCGTAGTCACTTACAGCAGTTGCTTCCTCCCGTCCAGTGTTTTGACGACATTCTTGTATTTCTTCAACTTGGTCTTCATTTATTTTATCGGTATCTTCTGAAACTGATGAAATGCTCCTAATACTAGTTGCCTCGATCTCATTATTATTATCTTGAAATAACTGTGTTGAAGTTTTCGCGGTCACTTTTGGATTTAATGAACAGTTTAATGTTTGATTTGTTGCATTCGTGGCTACAGTTCGGTTGAGAGCATTTCGTACTGATTCATTTTGTTTGTAAGATGTGCAACTACGAAGTACCGCATTTGCAAAGTTTTCCATTTCCGCGGGGTATATGCACTGATTTTTCTCATCGGATGCTATTTCGTTAGGCTTTGCGATTTTGTGTGGAATATCCTCTTGTGCCTTTATTTCATCGAATGGATTCTTATAAAGAGAAAATAGTTGTATACATATAAGAGTTCGAGTATGTTAAAATAAAACGATATTATATAAATTTATTTGTAATACAAGCAGATTAACTAAATAAATCTCAGCTCCTTTAATTTTTTTATATACGTTAATGAAATTTTAAGGATTAAGTTCAGAGTAAATTCAAATTCGTCATCCTCGACAAAAATTTTTCAACGCATTGCGACGCCACCGATTTTACCTTTTTCGTTGATCGTCAAAAGAGTACGTTCATCGTTTATATTTTTGAAGCTGATGTTGTTTGGTAACATACATACAAAAAATAGTAATAAAAAAGTAAGGAAGTATAAGTTCGGGCGAAACCGAACTTCATATCCCCGGCGCAGGTATCAAATATCGTCGGTTCAACTTTCTCTGAACTACCTTGGCATGATAAGCAAGTGTGTTTTCGCCCGTTTTCAGACGTTTTCTATAATATACAGAGTTAGACTTAATGATATAACTGAACCCAGTTAGGTACAAATCGATTAAGTTGTTACCGACGTTCACCTTTGTAGTTATAAAGTGGGCGGTGCTACGCCCAATTCCTAAAAGTGTATAGCAGTTATTTATTGTAAGGAGAATGTTGTAATTATTAACTTGGAGTAAATTAGCGTCCTCAGTTATTGAAATATCGGAGTTTTCGGATTTCTGAAATTTACCGTTATACGGGAAGTGGGTGTAATTTTAGTCCGATTTGAATAATTTTCAACAAATTTCTTTTCCGTACCAAGGTTATTAAGTGCACCGAGTTCGGTAGAAATTGAAAAATCGGTTACCGAGATACACATTTGTGGTCAGAAGGGGGCGGCGCCACGCCCATTATCAAAAAAATGCATAATAGTATAATTTTCTGCTAAGTGGTCATTGTAATTATCGATTTTGCAGTCATCGACTAATACTCATCGTGAGCAGACGTCGGTAGCTTCTCTCTCGGCTTTGATCGCAAGCGCAAATTCTTAATGCAAGTGTCATTTCAAAGTCAAACTCCAAAGCAACGCACGTGTTATTCGTCACGCCAAGTGCAATTTATAATTACAAGTGTCTATTGTCTTAATTATTAAAATACGAATTAAGAACAAAAACACCCAAAATGCCCTCCGGGTCCTCCCCGTTTGGGGATAATCGGTTTGCGTCGCTTTCCGAAAGTCCCCAAGCAAAGCGACGAAAAAAACCACAAAGACTGGATTTATCCTTCCCCGACCTACCCACTGCAACAACTAAAACACCCAAATACATCGTAGTGACATTAAGAAATTGTGAAAAGAAAATTACAGATTTTTCCTGCTTTGCGGTGAACCGAGGCTTACACCTCATTACAAAAAACATTATACAAATTACACCCACAAGAGACGGCCACCTACTCGTTCTGGTGGACTCACATAAGGACGCTGATCAATTTCTTAAAACAAATTCCCTGACTGGTATTTGTGAAATTGCTTGCAAACTTCTCGAATCATTGAACTTTGTAAAAGGTACCACCCCCTGCCTAATCAACATACCAGAAGAGGAAATCATTAAGGAACCAAGCTCTCAAAAAGTGACAGGTGTGTATAAATTCATGAACGAAGGAGTCCCCGAGCCAAGTCAAGTAGTCTTCTTAACTTTTGAACTTTTTAATTTGCCAGAAAAATAGACATTTTGTGGTATTCTGCAAAAATTCGACCATATTTTCCCAATTCAATGAGATGCAAATCATGCCAATATTTAGGGCACACAGCAAAACATTGTAGAAACAATCCCACATGCGTCAATTGTGGTCTCCCTCCCACGACCCCGACGTCTGCATACAAACTAAATGTGTCACCTGCTCAGAAGAGCACCCCGCCTCATCAAGGCAATGTCCAAAATTTGTACAGCAGAAAGAAATCATACAAATCAAAACAACAAAAAAATGTACTTTGCGTGAAGCAAAAGCAATCTTTAGAGCAAACGCACCAAAGCCCATTGATACCGCCCAGCTGGCCCACAAAAATACCAAACTCAAAGCCAAGTAAACACAAAAAACAAAACTAAACTAATACCTACAACAACTAATAATCCAACTTCTCCCTTCTCAATAACACCGAACATACCAAATTCTCAAAACTTCGCTCAACAAAGAACCCCTGTTACGCAGGAAAACATCGTTGATGAATTAATCAGCTCTCTTTCCACCACAATATATCCACCACACTCAATATCAATAGCATCGCAAACCAATGATCACAATAAACATAACAACATACACCTCGCATCTCTTAATCCTCCACTATCAATCTCTCCTACAGAAGAACTTAATAACAACGATTGCGTATCTCCTTCTTCGGTATTCTCCAATGGGGAATTCTCTTACTTAGGAAAAAACAACTTATAACGCCCTATGCATATTTCTATACTGCAATGGAATATGAACGGCTGAAACAATAATTACCACAAACCACTACTAATTATAAAACAACAAAATCCCGACGTAATATGTATACAAGAAACACACCTTCCTTTCAATAAACATAATATCTTCTACCCTTCTTCACTGGGTATTTTTGTAACCTAGATACGAACCTAAGTGCAAAACAAGGTATTGGTATCCTAATCAAAAAAACATATTCCACATGAAGCTTTAAATATTAACTCTAACATATGCACACTGGGGATTGAGGTGCGCCTTAACCCTAAAGTGACTGTACTCAATAGCTATATACCGCCGCAACAAAGTTTCTCATCCAGAGAAATGCTTAAAATTTTTATTTTTTTTATTTAGTTCGTCTATGAAACAAGTGCATAACAATAAGAAAAAAAAAACACGAATAAGTACGCCAATTATATTGACTGGGGATTTTAACTCCTGGAGCCCACTCTGGGGCTCGCACGATGTACTGTACTAAATAATGGTTCACCCACGCACTTATCTACACATAGTTATTTTACCCATATTGATTTGACTTTAGTACCACCCAGTCTCATACCAAACTGTAAATGGAAAATATCGGTAGCGATCACTACCCGATAACCACTACCTTTCGGACCCAATATAAAACTGAAAAAACGTGCAATATCGGTGAAATTTAAAACTGTCCAAACTGATTGGGACATATACAAGGCGAACAGCATTGAGCGTTCGGAAGACAAACACACTGATCCTTCTAAAACCTTTTGAACAAAGCAACAATTATTCAATGCGATTTAAAAATCTGGGAGAAAATGGCTCTCAATTGAATGATTCTTGCGATTTTATATGTGTATAAAATTCCATTACCTTATAATAAGTGGCTCCAGAGATAACCGATATTAGAATTTCAGTTCGTATGGGCGATGCCACGCCCCCTTTTCCAGAATTTACCACTCTTCGCCATAAGTACGGTATTGACAACATATGTTGCTGTGTCAAATTTCGGGACGTTGGCATAAGCGGTTCCAGGGATAAGCGATGAGAATTTCAGTTTGTAGGGGCAGTGCCACGCCCCTTTCCCATTAGCGGTTCCAGAGGTAAACGATATGAGAATTTCAGTTTGTATGGGCGGTGCCACGTCCCCCTTTCCCAGTACCAACCGTTTTTCACCGTATGTAGGGCATATACAATCTATGCATATGTGCTAAGTTTGAGTTCCCCAGCATAATTCGTTTTAGAGATATAGTGGTTTTCCCATTTTAGTCTATATGTCAGATGCCACGCTCCCTATGTATCGGGATTAACATTTCTGGATTAAATGAAGTTATATCCTTTAAATCGGTGGATGTTTCATTGAAATCGAGTGAACGGTGCCTTCAAAAAAGGGATTGCAAAATTTTCTTGTGGCGTATTTATATATAGATAACATTAGCACACACCGTCTAAAAGTGAAGTATGTATACATATGAAATGTTAAAAAATAAATTTGGTTTTTTAGACATCAAAATCTTACTAACCATCAAAACCTACAAAAAAACAAAGACATCAATCCGTCTTTTAATAGCAACAATAATAGGCATTTATTAATTCAGTACCAGGTTGACCGAGTTTTGTTTGGAAAGCATACACTTTTTAAACTTTTCAAGATTTGGGTATCAAACAATGGTAAATTTAAAAAAGTTTTTAATGTTATTTTGTAAATGGAATTTCTTATTTAACATTACGCCTATCCCGAACCTCTTTCCATACAAATTATGTATGCCGATAAAAAAATATTATCAATGCGTTAATATTTTAGCCCAAGTGAGAGAAACTTAAAAAAAAACTTTGAAAAAATATTGTTAATTAACAACAACATTTTTGCCGAGTCAGTATCTCAGAATTCTACAAAAAGATTGTTTTTAAAACAAATTAAAAAATTTTTACTTCTTGAATCTAATAATTTATAAAAATACTTGATATCAAAAACTAGGTGGCAACCCTACAAAAAAATATACCGAAGAGTACATATTTTGAGAGCAAATTTACTGCGTATACATACATACATATGTACCTAAATACAAGAAATAAATGCTCGTTGAAATTAGTAAGATACAAATGGGTATTAAAAACCCTGGCAACTATCAACGTAAATATTTATTTATTCAACTTCCCAAAAATACCTTTCATTTGACATCCATATTCAGCTATTTTAGTAACATTTTGTACATTAAAAATAATTTCTTAAGCGACAACTCTTAAGGTGTTCTTACATGATATGTATTTGCATCTGTAAATGTGACTTTTTCAATACATACATATGTAATTCCGTATGTCTGTCAAATTCACAGTCTTTGTTTAACTATTTAAAAATACGTTCTTTGAAAACGAAATAAACTAAACTCAAATGATTCCATCTGTGTGTCAGATGAAAATTGAGACATTTCTATTTCATATGTACGTGCATCTGCTTTGTACAGTAACAAATCTAATTTGCCTTTACATGATATGTTGACATTCCCATATATAAAAAGTGGCATGTACACATGCAAATACATATCGTGTAAGAACACCTTTACCACATAGCCAGAGCATTGTTTTTGGAGCTTTCTTTTAGCAACCGTAAAAAGTAATATTGTATCTTAATTTTAGAAACAAAAAATAGAAAACAGGTGGTAACCCTTTTCAAAACAAGTAAGAAAGTCTAAGTTCGGGCGGAGCCGAACATTAAATACCCGGCGCAAATATTAGATATATGATTTTCACCTTTCCGAAAGCTACCGCTACATGGTAAGCCGGGGTGTATCAATTTTGAGTAAATTGAAGATTTCGTATTTCTCTAAATTACCGTTATATGAGATGTGGGCGTGGTTATTATCCGATTTTAAAAGTTTTCTGCCATTTGGTATCCTGTACCAAGGCCATAACTGTGCCAAGTTTGGAAGAAATCGGTGCAGCGGTTGCCAAGATATACACATGTAACCATAAGTAGGCGTGGCTACGCCCATTTTTCAAAAATTCATAACATCCTTATTTTTCGTCTAAAAGTTGTTGTAAATGTGAATTTTGAGTTAATAATCTTCAGTAGTTACTAAAATATCGCAGTTTTCGTATTTCTGAAAATTACCGTTATATGGGAGGTAGGCGTGGTTATTGTCCGATTTTGCCCATTTTCAATACCATCCGTCCTACGCCCGAAAGAAGTACACGTACCAAGTTTCGTTAAGATATCTTAATTTTTACTCGAGTTATCGTGTGCACAGACGGACAGACGGACGGACGGACGGACAGACAGTCACCGCTTAATCGATTTCTCTTTTCATCCTGATCATTTATGTATACATTTGTCTATATCTATCTCGATTCGTTTTGCCTGCTACAAACAACCGTTATGTGAACAAAGTTATAATACCCTTGTGCACAAGTGCGCTCGGGTATAAAAATTTCTTAATTGTGGATTTTAAAAACACTCCATTTGATAAGCATATGATGTGGTGTTATTTGGTTTGTAACTAATTTCGATAAGTGGCAGCATTATACGAATATTTTCGGAGATTACACCTATCAAGATAACCACAAAATGCAAAATTTGAAAAAATCGTTAGAGCCGTTTCCGAGAAGTCTACGGATATAGTATATACATGTGGGCAAATCTCCGGAACCGTGCGATTTAACGCTAAAAAAACGTAAATTTTTAAATTGAACGCACAAAGATAAAAATATCCAAACAAATTGTTTGAAATTCATTGAGGAAATATTACATTCGTGTGTGACTTATTTTGATCAAATGATTAAAGAGTTATAAGTAAAAAACGATGACACGGTGCTACAAACAAAAGTCATGAAATACACCCGAAACAAAACCTAGTGTAGGATTTAGGTATGATCGAGTACAACGTGGAAATAGGGTCACGTCAATTTTTTTTATACCGAAAACCCGTTATTTTCGTACTTGATACATTTATATATTAATAGCTTAACTATTTACCATCCGATTTTAAAAATCGAGCTTCGAACTTGATGCACTTATCTATTAATAGCTTAAATATTTTTCATCCGATTTTAAAAATCCATCAAGTTTTGAAAAGAGGATTTATAGACCTTTAAAACGATGTATAACAAAATTTACAACAATAAAATACACTACACAATAATAATTTTTAACCAAATAACCTGATAACCAGGCAAGTGTGAACAACCTCAATAAATTGTAAGGACTTAGCTTGTTGGGAGTTTACATCGGTTAAATTTTAATGAGCCTCTATTTTTATTAATTTTTTGAACTTTCATCACCACTAATTTCAAAAATTTCTATGAAAGTTGCCAACTATGTGATATTTATCTAAAATCAATCCATTGCAATTGCATATAAATTTTCGAAGTTAGGCAATTTAAGCAAAAAATACGGCCTCGAATTTATATGTGTGTACGTACCGTACGTGCAGATTTTGGTGTGGCACCGCACTCTTATATCATATAAGCGTATCTCAAAACCTACTTGACCGATCTCGACCAAGTCGGACAAAAACCACGTGCTCCGCCCACATAACGGTAACTTAAAAAAACTCAAGGCTAGCTATATTTCAGGGGGTAATGTTTGTCCGATTTCAAAAAAAAAAAAATCAACATGGTGAGGTATCAACTTATTCGAAAATAATTGTTCTTTTAGACAAGTATTACATATTTGGCAATTTTCATAGAAATTAAAATTTTACCGATGAAAACTCCCAACAAGCTAAGTCTAACAATATATTGTTATACATCGTTTAAAATAATAATTAGGGAGTTCACAGGGTGTTGTACACTGTCGTACTGTTGTATGTCATAAACTTTAAACTGCTAAAACTATATTTAAGGAATTCGTAAGCTAACACAAAAGTTTTATTATGAAATTTCATACAATTAAAAAATAGTTGGTGGTGATTTCAAGTCCTCTAAACATTTATTTAGCCGTTAAAAACTTTACAACATACAACAATACGACAACTACGACACCTTGTGAACCACTCAAATATAAATCCTCTTTTCAAAACTTGTTCAATTTTTAAAATCGGATGGTAAATAGTTAAGCTATTAATAGGTAAGTGCAAGTACGAAAATAACGGTTTTTTGGTATAAAAAAATGGAGGGTTCAAGAACTATACGGGACCTATTTTGATGTTGTACTCGACCATACCTACAACCTACACTAAGTTGTGTTTCGGGTGTATTTCCTGACTTTTTTTTGTAGACCCGTGTCCTTTTTGAAAACTCAACATTAGCGATACTTCTAGAGGGCTTGGTTTTTGTCCGAATTCAAAAATTTTCCAAACCGTATTTAAGATGGTCAGGAGGCGCAATGTGTATGTAAAATTTGGTGCAGATTGGTGAAGTGGTTTTCGACATACAAATATTTGATATAAGTGGGTGGGCCATGCCCAGTTTCCAAACATTTTACAAAGTTGACTTTTCGATATTTTATATTTCATTGACCGATTTTGAAAGTTAGCATGGTGTGCGTTATTGACACCAAAGATTTTACGATTGTTTTATTTCTTCGACGAGTTATTTGCAAGCAAATTTTTATGCAGGTTTTACACTTTTTGAAATATTTCCACAACCATTCTTTCGAATCTTATCATTTTTTGACAGCAGTTAGAGAACTAATTGGGCAACAAATAAAGGGGTCAGTTTGTAAAATTTCAATTCTTGTTTTATAAAAAATTATATTTTTTTTACCAATTTTCATATACCTAGGAAAGGAATTCAAAAAGTATTATTTGCGCTAAACATTCAATTTTACTTTCATACAGCAAACTTACTGTACCATTGATTGACTTAAAGCTTTTTACCAAAAAAATCAACCAAGTTTAAAAAAATATAGTACAAATGAACTGAAAAGCAAAAAAATAATAATTTGATAATTCTTGATTTGATACTTAAGTTTTAAAATTTTATTTTGCTTTTCAGTTCATTTGTATTATATTTTTTAAACTTAGTTAATTATTTTTGGTAAAAACCTTTAAGCCAATCTAAGGCACAGTATTTCTTTGTTATGAAAGTAAAATTTAATGCTTAGCGCAAATAATGCTTTTTGAATTCTTTTTCTAGGTATATGAGAAGTGGATAAAAAATTCAATTTATTAAAAAAATTGTATTTATTTATTTATTATACAGAAATTAAGTGATAAATCACCTTACTACAATAACTAGGAGCACTAGTAACTAAGACCTTCAGCTCGCTTGTCAACTTCTTGTATATCTAGTACCGTGGGCGTAGCCAGGTAGGGGCAGAGGGGTGCTCGAGCCCCCTCTAACTTTCAAATTTTCCTTATATATATATAAAATAGTACCCTGAAATGCCAGCTTAATAGGTACGGACATAGCGGTCGGCTTTCCGCCTTGAGGATGTGGTTTGGGGATAGTGTGAGATGGAGATGTCTTTTTCGGTAGTTAGATTTGTAGAGGTTAATTTTATATTATTGGTAGTGGTGGGTTTTGTAGATTCCTGAGCAAGACCACTGGGAGCACGAGCAGCCGTGCCAGCATAAGATGATGTTGGTGATATTTGAGGTAGCTGCGAAATATAAATAGAATTTGCTTGCTTCAGAGAGAATTTTTGTTGCGTTTTTATTTTAAGAATTTCTTTTTGTTGAATACATTTGGTGCATTTGTTGTGGTTAGATGGGCGCTCCTCGGCACAGTTGGCGCACTTAGTGCGTATGCAGGTGGGGTGCAAGGCTACAATTCACACATAAAGGGGAATTTTTGCAGTACTTCGCCGTGTGACCTAGCACTTAGCATGATTTGCAGCGCATTGGGTTAGGGATGTATTCCCTAACCCTTAGTTCCCAGCAAACATTCTCCAATCTCAAACGTTAGAGAACAGCTCGAAAAACTATCGAGAATCATAGCGATCTCAACAAAAATGGGACAAAGTTCTCGACTCGAGAAAATATTAATGCTCTAATCAAATTCAAATGTTGATATCTAATGGGATTCGAATGTGAATATCAAACTGCGAGTTTTTTTTTTATTAAATAAAACGCTCTGTTTGTAAAATTTTTATGAAATGTATTTGCAGTAAGATAATAATGAATTATTTTGACTTAAAAATAATTTATGATTCGCTCATTTGGAATATTATTTATTTACATTTATTTGAATTTGCATTGTTTCTCTAATCGTTCTCGAATCGAATTCTAATGTAGTTCTCTAACTACGTCATCGACTCGATAACGATTAGAGAATTGCCCTAGTTATCTAATGTAGAAATCCAAATTTCGGTAACCAAATCGATAAATATCAATCACAAAATCGACAAATATCGATCAAAAAATCGATAAACATCGATAATAAAATCGATAAATATCGATAATAAAATCGATAAATATCGATAACAACATCGATAAATATCGATAAAAAATCGATAAATATCGATAACAAAATTGATAAATATCGATAACAAAATCGATAAAAATATCGCTAACAAAATAGTTACAAAATATATACATGCGTAATTATCTTGACTTACCATACAAAGTGGTCGCTTCTTCATTTGCTTGGAGGACTTGCGTGATGCCTGAGATTTTCCTGCAAGCAAAAACTCATGTGGTACATCTTTTTTAACTGCCCGTGGCAACGTTTTTCGAGATCTCTTGGATTCCAAAGTGGTGTTCTGCTGATCAGTAGGATTTCGTCGAATTTTGAAATTGCGATAAGATCTACCTGGTTCGGCATCACTAACAACACGGTTTTCATATTCATCCAATGGCAGATTCGAAAAACAGGAATCAAAAAGGTTGCGCGGATTGGAATCAAGCACACTTGTGTTGATAACGGTATTCATTTCGTTAGTGGGTATATTGCTACTTATGTTTGGTTCTGATCGATTTAATTCTTTGTTCGAGTTCAACATGGGTTTAACCTCGTTAACTTTCTTGGCCTTTTTTACGGGAACATCAATAGATCTTTGAGTTTTATTTCTGTTTGATTGATAAATTACAAAATTACTTCTTTCGTATTAATTCATAGTTTAAGATTTCCCCAAATCTATCAATTACAATTAACAAGTTTCAAAATGTGTAATGTATACAAACCTGGCATTTTGTTTCCGGGCTATTCGTCTCGGTTTGCTTGAAATACAGTCACTTTCAGAGGTAGAGGTCTGAGTTTTGAAAAATCGCTTTTGAGTTTTTTTAACGCAGTTTTTTGATGGACTTATTGACTTTTGAGGAGATGGGCGAGATTCTGAAGTTGATGTGCAGTAATCAACGATTTTCGGCATAATTTCTGTTTGCTGACTGTTTTCCAAAACAGTTTTGTTTAGTTGTTTTTCTAAATTTGGTAAGCGTGGTAGTTTGAAGTTTAATTCCTCCATTGACTTTTCAGATTTGTCATACAGTGTTGTATCCTCTGTTTGAGGCTTCGGATCTACTACTTCTGTGTCTTTTTTGGAAAGGCCTATTAAAAAGTCAAAGCTTTTTTGAAATTCACTGGAAACTGATTCCACGTTTGAATGGCGAGAGTTAGAGCCTTAAAGAAGACAACACTAAGAAACGTTTCTGTATAAAATGCACAAAAATATTACATTGATTTGTTAATAGCTCAGAGTTTGTTCCTGAAGTACTTCTCTTCTCAGGTGGTATATTCTCTTTATTTTCATTATTTACGATATTTCTGGAACTGTTATTGCTTTTGGATAGCAAATTATCAAAACCTGTTGAATTTGCACGTTCAATGCTTTGGAAGAGAATCGTTGTGGCAGTGTTATGCAATTTAACAAACGATGCATTTTTTGGTCGATGTGGTTTATTGTAGTATTTCAAAATAAACTTGTTTTCAAACAAACGCATAGCCTCCTCTCTTGACAAGATAATTTCAGCTGTTGTCATATTAGTTATGTCTTGAAAGCCGTCTAAAGCGTTTATAAGTTGAACAGGTGTTCGAAAATGCACGACCAGCGTGAGGTAATTTCTAATGGCAATATATAAGTATGTGTAAACTCTAAATATTTTTGTGGTCATAAGCAAGAATCGCCAAAGTCGAAAAACTTGAATTCGAGAAAAAACGCTTTAAAGATTTGGATTGTAATGTTAACCTTATGGGGAAACCAAAATATTTTCGTCTATAACTTTTTAAATAGCCTAGCTAACGAGATGGGAGTTTCACGTACACATGGAATAGTAGTTGCATAAAACGATAACATATATATAAATCAATTCTTACTTAAGTCGACTTAGGCGGTTATTGCTTATGACCACAGATTTGTTTTCTACTATCTTACAGTGATAACTTCTCAATTTGCAGGATCACAGAGCAATTCGCACAGGTTGCTTTGTTGTTTGTTTGGCAAAGTCCACTGAATGAGAGCGTACCAGGGCAGTAGTTGAAATCTACCCAAAAGTTGTCAGCGTTCTAAAGGTAATATATTTTATAAGGCTTGATTCACAACACGTAACATCTTTAGTTAATGATTAAATATACTTTAAAATAGATAAGTTAACGGCCCTTGACCAGTTTTTCAGTGCCAATTTAAACTTAGTTTAAACCACCTAGCTGATAAATTTCATTGGATGGCAACCAGTGCTCACGCTCGCATCAGACCATATTCGAAGACCGTACGGTACACCAAGAAGGCCAACTGGATTGGTTTTACGAAACACACAGGCCGCAAATTCAACGCCCTTCCACCACAAAAAATTCGCGCGCGAAGCTAAGCGCAACATCCGAAGGATCATCAATGCAGCAGCATACTACAACGAGCACCTCAAGACCTGCAATCTCTCCAGCGGAGCTAGCAAACAGTGGACGACAGTAAAATCTCTCTCCCACCCGACGAAACGTAAGGACAACGTTGCCCTTACATTTGGCAATACCACCACGTCGGACCCGCGAACGTGCGCGCGCTTTTTCAGCCGGCAGTTGATTGCACAACCGGAGAGAGACAAAGCCCGCCGCAGTGTGCTACGTAAAGCACACAAAAACTCCGCCCCCGAGACACACTAATGTGCTTTACACCAGAAGAGATGCAGGCAGCTGTAAAGAACGCCAAAGCATCCAAGGCATCAGACCCTGACGGAAACTCGATGCAGATACTGAAGAAGCAAGGACCAGCGGGAGACGAGTATATCACAGCAGCGTTCAACTTTTCCCTGTCCACCCTGATCATCCCTGAGACGTGGAAAATAGGTAGGATCATTCCCCTCACTAAGCCAGGTAAGAAGGCGGAGGCAGGAGGCTCTTACCGGCCAATCTCGCTCCTATCCCCAGTGGCAAAGACAAGGAAAGCACTACTTCTCCCCAGCCTGACGAAGCATCTGTAACTAGCCGAACACCAATATGGATTCCTCAAAATGCATAGTATGGCCACTGCATTAAACGCCATCACCACACAAATAAGCGAGGGTCTAATCCAACGTCGCCCTGTGCTACGACGGTCCTAGTCGCGGTGGACCTATCGAAGGCTTTCGACACGGTAAACCACGCGACCATTTGCCAAGATGTGTTGCTTCGGATTTCAAGTTTTTTTTTAATAAAAGATATTTAAGTAAATTTCGCGTCGATCTAGTCGTGGCTATTTTTTAAAAAAGCTCTGGGGCTTTGTTTTTTTATGTTCAAAAATGAAAGAATAAAAATTTTACGTTTGAATGCTTCCACTTTTTTGGAAAATGCTGGAAATTAATTTAAATGTCTGCAATTATTTAAGAAAATATTCATAATCATTTTTCCATAGGATAGATTTTATTAAAAAATGTATTCCATTTGTTATTTATGCTAATATATATTTTAAAAGACGTTTTTTTCGTTTTTTCTATTCGAAAAACTCAAGAACAGCTGTACCGATATTTTTGAAATTTTGGGCGTCGACTCCAGACTATCCAAGGATGATAATAGATCAAAAGCAATTTCGATATATCAAGAGGGTGTGGCACCTCCCATAAAAACTGAAGTTTTCACACAACATATCTCTGGAAGTATTTTTCGTCGAGTGCTGCAATTTAGTACAGAGATATATAATATCAACGCCAAACTCATGGCAAAAATGGGGGTTATTGAGAAAAGGGGCGTGGCACCTCCCATACAAACTGAATTTCTCACACCGCATACCCATTCTAATGTGAAAAATTCAGTTTGTATGGGAGCTGCCACGACCCCTTTCTCAATAACCAATTTTTAAATAATTGCAGACATTTAATTTCCAGTATTTTCCATGAGTTTGGCGTTGACATTATATATCTCTATACAAAGTTGCAGCACTCTACCGATATCGGTACAGCTTTTCTCGTGTTTTTCGATTAGAAAAAAACGGATTTGAAAATATATGTATATCAATATAGATGGCAATTTAAAAACATTTTTTAATTAAGTGTTTCCTACGGAAAAATGTTTATGAATAGTTTTTTAAATAATTGGAGGCAGTTGAAATTAATTTCAAGTATTTTCCAAAAAATTGGAAGCATTCAAACGTAAATTTTTTTCTTTCACTTTTCAACATAAATAAATAAAAAACTAGAGCTTTTTTAAAAAATCGCCACGGATAGAAGATCGACGCGATATCTTATTTAATCTTCTCTTATTTACAAAAAAGAAGCTTAAAATCGGTTCATATTTGGGTCTCAAAATTGATTTGTCCACAGCAACCTTTTTTGCCCCACTGTGCGCCGCCAGGAGTTAACTTGGTGAGCCACGCCGATGATTGCACGATTATGGCGAGCGCCAATATCGACAGTCTGTGCGGGAAAATCAGCGACTACCTCACCGATCTTGCAAGTTTCTTCACTGCCAAGAGCCTCACCATCTCCGCCGCGAAATCCACCGCCACACTGTTCACCACCTGGACAAAGAAGGTTTGGCTAGAGCTGGACCTTCACGTCGATGGCAACACAATACCGACTGTCAACCACCCCTAAGTTACGTTCGACAGCCTATTCTCCTTTTCAGTATTTAGCGCGTAGGTATCCTTGTCGCGGGGCTAGATCTTAAGTGGTGACATGGGGGCCCTTAGGGGCTTCGCGCTTGCGGGGCTACGGGTGTCACAATCCCGGGTACCCCAGTCAAAGGCTACCAATCCTGAGTCGGTAGGAGGCTCAATTGGTAGAAAAGTCTACGGCTTTCGAAAGTCATACCTAAGACTTTTAAACAAAAAAGGCTCCGCGGGCGAGCAGATGCCCCTGGAGTGTGTTCGTTGGCTAGATAAGCAAAACTAGTGAGACGAACAAGGCCAAAAGGAAGGCTAGATGTACATGTAAGATCGTACAGCTGATAAGATCTGCAAGGAAGAATGTGGCTCGTCAAGCTTTTCGAACGGGTGTAGAAAACCTCAAAGGAGCAATTTCCATGCCTATTGTCAACCCGGGCTGGAAGGCCCAGTATGGCTAGTAGGACCTGTGAGATTAGCGAGACGAGCAGAATGAATGAGGAAATGAGCTGGGTGAAAATGTTGAAAACTGTTGGAAAATGTGGAAGATGTTANCTCAAAATTGATTTGTCCACAGCAACCTTTTTTGCCCCACTGTGCGCCGCCAGGAGTTAACTTGGTGAGCCACGCCGATGATTGCACGATTATGGCGAGCGCCAATATCGACAGTCTGTGCGGGAAAATCAGCGACTACCTCACCGATCTTGCAAGTTTCTTCACTGCCAAGAGCCTCACCATCTCCGCCGCGAAATCCACCGCCACACTGTTCACCACCTGGACAAAGAAGGTTTGGCTAGAGCTGGACCTTCACGTCGATGGCAACACAATACCGACTGTCAACCACCCCTAAGTTACGTTCGACAGCCTATTCTCCTTTTCAGTATTTAGCGCGTAGGTATCCTTGTCGCGGGGCTAGATCTTAAGTGGTGACATGGGGGCCCTTAGGGGCTTCGCGCTTGCGGGGCTACGGGTGTCACAATCCCGGGTACCCCAGTCAAAGGCTACCAATCCTGAGTCGGTAGGAGGCTCAATTGGTAGAAAAGTCTACGGCTTTCGAAAGTCATACCTAAGACTTTTAAACAAAAAAGGCTCCGCGGGCGAGCAGATGCCCCTGGAGTGTGTTCGTTGGCTAGATAAGCAAAACTAGTGAGACGAACAAGGCCAAAAGGAAGGCTAGATGTACATGTAAGATCGTACAGCTGATAAGATCTGCAAGGAAGAATGTGGCTCGTCAAGCTTTTCGAACGGGTGTAGAAAACCTCAAAGGAGCAATTTCCATGCCTATTGTCAACCCGGGCTGGAAGGCCCAGTATGGCTAGTAGGACCTGTGAGATTAGCGAGACGAGCAGAATGAATGAGGAAATGAGCTGGGTGAAAATGTTGAAAACTGTTGGAAAATGTGGAAGATGTTGGATAACGTGAAGGAACGTTGACAATGTCGGAAATGTTGTAAAACACGGTGTAAATTTTGTGGTGAACCGTGGAAAAGTGTAAAAGAAGAAAGCAAATCTTACTAGTCGTGTGGTCAAGCATGTGTATTCTGGTATGTTTAGTAGGTTGCGTGACTCGAGCTGGTCAAGCAAGTCTGGCTGGCGAGCATTACTCCAATCTGCTCAGTGAGGTATGGCCCTTCGGGAAGTATCGCGGGGGCTGTGGTTTAATACCTAAATACGGGTGGAACTCGCAAGGATTCACTGTGGAGTTGCATTGCAACCGGGTGCCGGGACCCAAAGAATGGCAGAGATTTAGGTAGGTTTCGGCTTTACCAAGGTGGTATGTGTGTCCGTCCCACACTGCCTTTANTCACCATCTCCGCCGCGAAATCCACCGCCACACTGTTCACCACCTGGACAAAGAAGGTTTGGCTAGAGCTGGACCTTCACGTCGATGGCAACACAATACCGACTGTCAACCACCCCTAAGTTACGTTCGACAGCCTATTCTCCTTTTCAGTATTTAGCGCGTAGGTATCCTTGTCGCGGGGCTAGATCTTAAGTGGTGACATGGGGGCCCTTAGGGGCTTCGCGCTTGCGGGGCTACGGGTGTCACAATCCCGGGTACCCCAGTCAAAGGCTACCAATCCTGAGTCGGTAGGAGGCTCAATTGGTAGAAAAGTCTACGGCTTTCGAAAGTCATACCTAAGACTTTTAAACAAAAAAGGCTCCGCGGGCGAGCAGATGCCCCTGGAGTGTGTTCGTTGGCTAGATAAGCAAAACTAGTGAGACGAACAAGGCCAAAAGGAAGGCTAGATGTACATGTAAGATCGTACAGCTGATAAGATCTGCAAGGAAGAATGTGGCTCGTCAAGCTTTTCGAACGGGTGTAGAAAACCTCAAAGGAGCAATTTCCATGCCTATTGTCAACCCGGGCTGGAAGGCCCAGTATGGCTAGTAGGACCTGTGAGATTAGCGAGACGAGCAGAATGAATGAGGAAATGAGCTGGGTGAAAATGTTGAAAACTGTTGGAAAATGTGGAAGATGTTAGATAACGTGAAGGAACGTTGACAATGTCGGAAATGTTGTAAAACACGGTGTAAATTTTGTGGTGAACCGTGGAAAAGTGTAAAAGAAGAAAGCAAATCTTACTAGTCGTGTNGAAATTAATTTCAAGTATTTTCCAAAAAATTGGAAGCATTCAAACGTAAATTTTTTTCTTTCACTTTTCAACATAAATAAATAAAAAACTAGAGCTTTTTTAAAAAATCGCCACGGATAGAAGATCGACGCGATATCTTATTTAATCTTCTCTTATTTACAAAAAAGAAGCTTAAAATCGGTTCATATTTGGGTCTCAAAATTGATTTGTCCACAGCAACCTTTTTTGCCCCACTGTGCGCCGCCAGGAGTTAACTTGGTGAGCCACGCCGATGATTGCACGATTATGGCGAGCGCCAATATCGACAGTCTGTGCGGGAAAATCAGCGACTACCTCACCGATCTTGCAAGTTTCTTCACTGCCAAGAGCCTCACCATCTCCGCCGCGAAATCCACCGCCACACTGTTCACCACCTGGACAAAGAAGGTTTGGCTAGAGCTGGACCTTCACGTCGATGGCAACACAATACCGACTGTCAACCACCCCTAAGTTACGTTCGACAGCCTATTCTCCTTTTCAGTATTTAGCGCGTAGGTATCCTTGTCGCGGGGCTAGATCTTAAGTGGTGACATGGGGGCCCTTAGGGGCTTCGCGCTTGCGGGGCTACGGGTGTCACAATCCCGGGTACCCCAGTCAAAGGCTACCAATCCTGAGTCGGTAGGAGGCTCAATTGGTAGAAAAGTCTACGGCTTTCGAAAGTCATACCTAAGACTTTTAAACAAAAAAGGCTCCGCGGGCGAGCAGATGCCCCTGGAGTGTGTTCGTTGGCTAGATAAGCAAAACTAGTGAGACGAACAAGGCCAAAAGGAAGGCTAGATGTACATGTAAGATCGTACAGCTGATAAGATCTGCAAGGAAGAATGTGGCTCGTCAAGCTTTTCGAACGGGTGTAGAAAACCTCAAAGGAGCAATTTCCATGCCTATTGTCAACCCGGGCTGGAAGGCCCAGTATGGCTAGTAGGACCTGTGAGATTAGCGAGACGAGCAGAATGAATGAGGAAATGAGCTGGGTGAAAATGTTGAAAACTGTTGGAAAATGTGGAAGATGTTAGATAACGTGAAGGAACGTTGACAATGTCGGAAATGTTGTAAAACACGGTGTAAATTTTGTGGTGAACCGTGGAAAAGTGTAAAAGAAGAAAGCAAATCTTACTAGTCGTGTGGTCAAGCATGTGTATTCTGGTATGTTTAGTAGGTTGCGTGACTCGAGCTGGTCAAGCAAGTCTGGCTGGCGAGCATTACTCCAATCTGCTCAGTGAGGTATGGCCCTTCGGGAAGTATCGCGGGGGCTGTGGTTTAATACCTAAATACGGGTGGAACTCGCAAGGATTCACTGTGGAGTTGCATTGCAACCGGGTGCCGGGACCCAAAGAATGGCAGAGATTTAGGTAGGTTTCGGCTTTACCAAGGTGGTATGTGTGTCCGTCCCACACTGCCTTTAGTACTGAAGTGCTTGCATTTCAGGGCAATGATTAAGGCATGAATTAATCCATAAGCTTAACGGGCTCTGTGGAGTTTAGACCGTATACTATGGCAGGTACCCATAATAAACCTGAACTACATCCCCTTTTCAGTGCACGCCTCAGCCACCTGCGAAAAGAAGCGAGCAACGAACAAAGTCCTCAAGTCACTAGTCGGCAGCACTTGGGGAGCCGGCAAAGAAACCCTACTCACCATGTATAAAGCAATCGGCCGGTCGGTGGCAAACTAAGCAGCGCCAGTGTGGTCAGCAGATACCAGCGATACACAGTAGAAAAACCTACAAACATGCCAGAATGCAGCTCTACGCACGGCTACAGGTTGCCATCTCATGTCATCCGAGCATCACCTTGGTGGAGCCAGATGCGGTAAAACAGCACAACACGTTGCTATCGAAGCACGCCCTGCTTCGAAATGATCCGCCCCCCAACATGTCAGACGTTACCTGCGCAACTGGAAACCCGGCGTTGAGCCGTGCGTACGCACCCATTCGACGCAGAAAAATACAGTGCGGCGCTTAACCATCTAAATACCGATGCAGTCAGGTCGAATCTCAGCACCAGATTCATATTCATATCTGGCCAAGGACTGTCACTGCAGCACCATTCCCCATAAGTTTTTGATGATTTTTCCTGATGTTACAACAAAAACAAGAGTTTAAACTAAGTTTAGGCCACAGTTTGATTTAACAGTGCACTGGAAAACTGTCCCTTAGATTATTTGCAAACTTACCATGGGCTTGAAAAATTCAATACTTTCTCCGAATTTGAATGTTTTGCAACGAAATGAGTAAACTAGAATATTTTTCGCCAAATGCATGTTATACGTATTTAGCAAATCTCGAGCAGTCTACGGAAATGAGAAGGTTATTTTATTTACTAAGTTGTAATATTCACATAAATTAAAAATACAGTCGACGATGTAATTAGTTTGTACTTTTTATATGTGTGCATTCATATTCAGTAAAACCCACTTTGCCGGTTTTTCTGAACCTTAAATCGGATTTAAAGCTCAGTTGTGGAAGACTTAGACTTGACTTGACTAGAAATTTGTATATCTGGCAAATGAGCAGTGTGTGTATGTAGTTACCCAAAAAAAAAAAAAAACTTCACTTAGAAAATAGGAGAACTGTAGATTTTTGATTTCTAAGTTAAGCTTCTAAGTGCAAAGAGAGCCGTGAGAGAATCAAGCTACCATTTTTTCGCTTATTTTTAATAAAGGTCCGCCAAATGTGCCTACAACAATTATTATTTTTGTATAAATGCAATTCATATGGCTATCGAAAAACAAACTTTCAAATAGACAGAAAAAAATATAAACCAAATCGCAATTTGGTACGCTTAAACAATTTATTTCAATTGTAATTTCAATTTTACCCCAAAACAAATTCAACGTTTACAATTTGTCGTGTACAAATACAAATGCCGAGGATAAAAAAAAAGAGAAAGAGTAATAGATTTGTTTTGTGCTGTGTTGTACTGTGTTGTGTTGTGTTGTGATGTGTTGTAATGTGTTGTGTTGTGTTGATTTAAGTTCTTTTGCGTTATGTTATGTTTTGTTGTGTTGTGTTGGGTTGTGTTGTGTTGTGTTGTATTGTATTGTGTTGTGTTGGGTTGGGTTGTGTTGTGCTGTTTTGTGTTATGTTTTGTTATATTCTGTAATGTTGTTCAACGCATTTCACCTCAGTTCACTTCAATCAACTCAACACGGCTCAGCTCAGCACACAACAACTCCCCTTAATTTAAAAGGTTGAATTTCAACCGCTGGGCGAACACTAGTAATTATAACTTATTTTTCTTCTTAAAGCACGCTAGTCGCTTTCATTCTGTGCTAACTGACGCCAATTGGAAATGCCAAGTGAAGCCAAGTCCTTCTCCACTTGCGTCTTTCCATGGCCGTGAGGCCTTCCTTTTCCTCTGCTACCGCCAGCGAGTTCCGAGTTGAATACTTTCAGAGCTGGAGCGTCGGAGTCCATTCGAACGACATGGCCAAGCCAGCGGAGCCGCTGTATTTTAATTCGCAGCACTTCGTGTATGTCTACGGTGAACAGATTTCTGTGGCCGAAAATCGGGGCATTTCTAAAGCATTGAATTCGTGAAATCAGTACAAAAAAAGTTATGTCTTCATTTTTTGTCGCAATGTAGAAAAAACAATTCAGTTTGACTTTAACAATTATTCACCAAACTTAGATTTGTTTCGGTTTTTTTACCGAAGATATTGTCAAGTGAAATGTTCGATAACTTTTTAAACAAAAACCTGTAATTCTTTAAGCGTTGAACCGATTTCAACGAAACTCTGGGATATTAGAGGGAATGAATCTGACTTTAGAAAATCGATCTTAAATTTTTACAATTAATTTTTTCATAATTTTTAATACTATTATTTATAAAGATAAACTTTTTTTTTGTTCTGAGCCTCTTAAAAATCTCAAGTATTTGTCGTCAAATTAATTTTTTTTTAATGCAAGCGCTCGTTTTGTATTGCAAAATCACATTCTTTTGTGATACTCGTTAACCCAAATTGACCCCCTGTTGCCTTATGGCAACGCAAAATACATCATGTGTAAGAGGGTGTAAAACAAAAACCGCTTACTTCAAAATGCTTATGTGAACGTTAACTTATTCCTAAAGGGTGTATCTTTCGAAATGTTTACGCTTCTGTCAGATCCTTGCTGTCTATTGAGTGTAATGCAAGTGTGTTCTTTAATCAAAATTAGAAGTGGCAGAAAACCATCAAAATGTCATATATGAAGAAGTAAGTATGAATTTAAAGAAACCGTTTTTTTTTTTATTTACAAAATATGACAGTGATAAAATATTAGTTACAACATTAGTGACTATTGATAACAAGTAACAATAACAAGTAATTTTTAATAAAAAAAAATATATATATCTCTAAATATTTCATGATCGGATCTAAACCAAATTAGTAAGGGACCGATCCGTTGCAAAAAGAATTATCGAAATCGGTTGACGTGGACCAAAGTTATGCGGTAACATACATAAAAAAAAATAAAAAAATAAAAATAAAAAAAAATAAAACAAAATAAAAAAAAAATAAAAAATAAATAAAAATATTCCGACGAACTGATAACCTCCTCCTTTTTTGGAAGTCGGCTAAAAACAATCGTGCATGCTATATAATTTAAGTGTTTTTTTAAGTCCGTTGCCATATGGCAAGACGGGGCGTAATGTGAACTGTTCCTCTTTTTACCAAATTTTGATATGTTGGCTGGCCCAAATTGACCCTGTATTGCCGTATTGCAACGCAAAATACCTTCATGTATGAGACGGTATAAAACAAAAATCGTTTGTATGTATTTTTGCAGTTTTGCAGGTGGTTAACTCATTCCATCTATCCCTGATCTGCCTAATCATATTATCGTATATTCATTGTACAAGTGTTGAAGTGGTATACAAATGTAGTTTGTCTGTTACAGGGAAAACTGGTAACGTTTTTTACATTCTCATCTGCTATTTCATTACCCTAGATTCCCTTGTGACCGGGCATCTATTAGATATATAGGCTTTTGTCAGCGTCTAGCTTGTCAATGACATTTATGCATGAAATACTATATAAGGAAACTGCCTTAATTGCCGCCTGGAATAGGTATCAATTTGAATTGATTGTCGTTTCGGTGAAGACTGGCTTTTAGAGCCGTCCGTGAAAATGTTTAGGGATCTATGGCTAGGTTTCATTCCCTTGTGCCATCCCTCCTCCTATACCGTTGTGCAAAAAGTTCGTTTCCACTTAAAGCTGGGTGCCATGAAGTTTGTGCTGCTTGTGCTTCCCGCCCCAAATTAAGCTGTGCCCAAAGGTTCTGAAATTGTATTTCCCTATGACCGTCAATCTACGTGCGGTCGGCCAATGGGCGGTAAACTAAGGGTGTTTTAAAGAGCAGCCGTCGAAGTGGACCTCAGCGCTCCAGCGATGAGGCATAAGGACTTTTTTGCGGCATTCCAGCGCACCAAAGCGCCATAGAGCAGTATTAGGCTGACTATTGCTGTGTAACACCAATGCATCAGAGCAGATGACAAACCCCATGTGATTCCCAGCGTTCTTTTACATGCGTAAAGTGCGTTACTGGGCTTCTGCTGGTGAAGCATGTAAAACTATAGGACGAGTAGCCTGTGCAAAATGTGAGCTGGGTGAAATGTTTTGCTACTTTTCATACTAAAAATTAACTTCTTCATCCGCTTTGCACGTAGAATATGCATATATTATCAATAAATGTATTAAAACTTATAAGCAATGTTTCTATTATTTCACATTTTAACCAAATACTGTCCTCTAACAATCCATCTGGAATACGCCCCATGTTGTCATNTTGCACGTAGAATATGCATATATTATCAATAAATGTATTAAAACTTATAAGCAATGTTTCTATTATTTCACATTTTAACCAAATACTGTCCTCTAACAATCCATCTGGAATACGCCCCATGTTGTCATACGGCAACGGCCGATATCGGAAGAACTATACTACTCCCAAAGTTTTAGTCATATTTTTTCCTTTACTTTAGCGCTACTTTTACCCTGAATATACACAGATGAAAGCAAGAAAATCTAAGAAAATTAATCTGGGACAATTTGGGTTAAACTAAACATCTAAGGCCCGGTTGTTCAATGTCTGGTTATCACTACCACTACACTATCGACGATTTCGACATCATGCATGTAACATGTGATCGATAAAGCAGTAGTTGTGCTTAACCGGAGCTTCTACCTCCGATTTGTGCTAATCAGACATTGAACAACCGGCCCTAAGGGCGGTTTCGCTTTAGCATTTATTAATTGTCTCGTCTTTCAATTGCAATAAAAATAAATATGCTACCACCTAATCATGTAAATGGGTTACCATTGCGTAAAGAAAAACATAACAGTGTTTATAAAGGGATCTCAAAAGTGGCTGAAAAGTGGAACAATGTTTTTTCTAAATTTAATTGGGGAATATTTATGCAAAACATGCAAAACCATCTCAAATATCAGTGGCTGCTCTTGATCGGGAGTCTGGCGAGGAAAACAGTGACGACAGTGACTCCGATTTTTCAGATTTTGAAGGTAAAATTAACTTTTTGTCAGTCATTTAAGTAAGAATGCGCCCATTCAGTTTTTTGATCTAGTTGTTTAGGAGAATCCCTTACTTGTGACGAAGGAAAAAATTTGTTGCATCCGACTTTGAAAAAGAATTGTCACAGCAGCAAACAATAATGTCGCTTTGTTAACGGAAGGAGACACGAAAAACATCCAATTATTAACTATAGTGCCGATAGATTGGAATGCTGCGAAAATTCGTAAATTATTAGGCGTCACCCGTTACATGAATCCGACTGAACTTAAATTGCGTAAATAATCTGGATATTTTGCATCTCCTCATAAAAAATTGGTCGCGTTTTAGCGAATTCCGTTGCTGAAAACGTTCACCGATTTTATGAAATGGATGAAAACAGCCGTGTTATGTAATGGAAATAAGAATAGTGTTCAAAAAAGGCTGTTGCTCTGTAATTTGAGAGAGCTTCATGAAAAATGTTTATTAAAATATCCGAATGTAAGGATAATCTTTCTAAATTCACTTTACTGCGAGCAGCTTCCTGCGTAGTTGTTGGGTGTAAAGGTGATCACCAGGGATCGGATTTTAAGGAAATTGCCTTTTTTATGCTAAAGAGATAGAGTATATTCGATTAAGAATGTCCACGATTTAGCTTTCCCTGATTCCATATGTATATACACATTTGATGTTACCTTATTTTGCCTTTTCTACCTAAAAGAACAGTATGCAGCTCCCAAAAAGCTCCATATAAAATGACGTACAAGAAATGGCTAAGATATTTTCTTGTGTCAAATTTCCTTAAGGCAGTACGCAGTTCTTAAGAGATTTGCTAAGCTTTCTACTACGGTTTTTTAAGTTTTTTTGTGAAAAAAAGAGCACAAGGCAACTCATGTTTGCAACAGAAATATATGCCCGTTCCATTATCTCTTGAGGAAAGAGTGAGGCAACAGGATGTGAAGTATCAGATGCCAAAATTCCTCGGACACACACACGAAATACTGGAAATTTTTTTCTTGTCCGTTTTCTTGAGATCTGCATACTGGCCTTTAGTTGAAAAGGGCAAGGAAAATACCCTTATTCCTGATAATATGAAAGTTTTAAACGTTCCATATTTAAATTGGGCACCACTTGTATCAACTCACGTCGAGCACACGATTAGCTTTGCGGGTTGAAAACTCGAAAGGAGAAAATAGTCAAAGATTCAAAGTAGAAAATTTTCATATAATGAACTAGTTCTTTTGCCTTTTTTGTGATTTCTAGTGAGTTTTCCTGTCTATTTCGCTTTTTTATCTTCTCTTTTCCAGCCCGTTTCGTTATTTTATTTTGCCTTTTTTATAGGGTTTTAGGTCCTAAAAATCCGTTCCCTGGTGATCACAATGTATGTGTTATCAAAACGCACCAAAACATGGAATTTAAAATTCATGGATTATATCCTGCCTTACAAGGATCCGGACAAACATATTCGATAAGTGATTTAACCAAACAAATTATCTGTCACTATCCAAATGATCGTTGCAATTTGTTAGCTTGTGCCGTATATCAACATTATTTTGATTACAGTTTCTAAAGGAAACGTGGCTCGGATTTTTTTTTTGCGGATTTTAATACCTCTAAGTTTTGTTGATAAATAACATTTTTTGAGATTTTTATGAGGCGCAGAACAGGAAAAAAATGTATTGCTTATGAACAATTGTATTAAAAATTATAAAAAAATTAATTTTCCAAAAATTTAAGACCGTTTTTCCAAAGTCAGATTCATTCCCTCTAATATCCCCGAGTTTCGTTAAAATCGGTTCATCGCTTAAAGAATTACAGGTTTTTGTTTAACAAGTTATCGACCATTACACTTGACAATAACTTCGGTAAAAACAGAAAAAGATCTAAGTTTGGTGAATAATTGTTAAAGTCAAACTGAATCGTTTTTTCTACATTGAGACAAAAAATTAAGACATGCATTTTTTTGTGCTCATTTCACGAATTCTGACCCAATATTTAATTTTTTTTAGAATAAAAAGACATAGTATCGTGTCAGCGAGATGGAGTCGCGTGTGAGCTGCCGCCGAGTGTGGATGTGTTAGCGAATAGTTTCATCATTCATATTAACACTTAAAACCAGGGACGTGAACCGGTTTTGAACCGGAAAACCGCTTTTTTCTATTAATTAACTGAACCATTAACCGATCCGAAATTTTCCACAAATGTTTGATCCGAACCGAAAACCGAACCACTTTCCATAAAGGTTTAAAGGTTCGTTTCAACCAAGTTTTAATAGATAAATGTACCAACTTTTTTACTTTTTGTTAAACATTGTAATACCTACCCTGTGACAGAAAGACAGAAGAAATACGTTTGTGATAAAATTTTGGGAAACGGGCGTGCCACCGCCCACTTATGATCACATATGTGTATCTCGGTAACCGGTCTAGCAATTTATACCAAACTCGGTATGGCTATTGTGCTTGCCAAATAAAAGCAAAACGTTCAAAATTATTGAAATCAGACTAAAATTGAGGCCGCTTTTTATATAACGGTAAATTTCATAAATGCTTGAAACTTCAATATTTCGAACTTTAAGGACGCTTAATTACTCAAAATTTATACACCCCGCTTACCATGTTGCGGTGGCTCTCGGAAAGGTGAAAATCATATATTTAATACTTGCGCCGGGTGTTTAATGTTCGGCTCCGCCCGAATTTAGACTTTATTACTTGTTTGTTTTTCGAACCGTTGAACCGAACCGAAACCCCGGTTCAAAGACCAAAAAAACCGCTTTGAGGAACCAATCCAAAAGTGCAAAAACGGTTCGAACCGCTGAACCGAACCGACAAAATTTTTCATCCGGTTCACGTCCCTGCTTAAAACACATTTGTCTAAATTCATTGTAAATGTATCATCAACTTTAATTTGCTTTTATTATAAATAAATATACAAAAGTCATCCGTGACAATGCTTTAATACAGTTTAAAACAAAACAAAGAGAAACGAACTTGACAAGTTATCGCAAAAATTTATACATACACCCTATCTCACAACTCGGTTATAAACGCCACATCTCAGCTGAAAATACATTGAAAATATGCTGAGATAGGTCGTTTTTGAATCGACTGATGAGATATGGCATTTTTTAACTGAATTCTGAGGTAGGGCGTTCTTCAAATTCTGAAATAGGGCGTTGTTGAAAAATTTTCTGAGATAGACCTTTTTCGAACTGGCTGCCGAAATAGGTCAATCTTCCCCTCAGGTATCGATATGTATATAGCTTATATTTTTCATATCCATGAATTTTGGAAGAAAACAAGTACTTTTTTATAATTTAACTAAATCCAAGTTTATATCGTTTCGTTAAAAAAAAAACTTAGCAAATAAATACGAAAACCTTAAAGAAAATTAAGGCAAGAATGATAGAAACGTAACGTAAATAAGGATGTTTATGGATGCGTATGTTTACGGCTCCCTTATATTCTATGTTCTTTAAGATAATGAAAGTGCTGCCAGGCCCGAAAAATGGTTTTGGTCGATAGTACACGGAGAATTCTATTAAATTAATAAAGAAAGCACTGAAAATCGGGGCTGACAAAAAATGAAAAACTTCTTTTATGCATTAGCGAAAAACGCATTACTTCAGAAAGTGCAAAAAATGGGCAGGTTTTTATTTCTTCTTTTGAAAGCTACTATTTAATAAAATAATAAAAAATAACCTATTTTTACATATATTTTTTATTCATTCCAATAAAATTTAGCATTTTTTTAAATTTTGTTTAGAAAAATTATTTTTTTGGAACACCGCAGGGACACCCTGTGTTTAATCTTATTCCAAAATTTTAATTCCTGTAATTCTCAACTATCTATATGGAAACAAGAAACGTCAAACCAACATTTTATTTCAAAGAATATATTTTTGACATTTTTTTCTGTGAAGAGCTTACGCATGGCTGTGCTCTTATTAAAATTCTTAGAATAAAATTTGTCGATTTTAGTGGCTTCCTGGTGGCATATAATTAATTTTTTAGGGAAATGTCTGTTTAATTCTTTTTAGTGGATAAATTGTCTTTACAAAAATACCAAGCAAGTTCACATTGCAGATAACGAATCTTTCGATTTCTGCCCACTTAGGCGGCACTGTGTGGCGTGTTGTTTTGGACTCGGCCAAAATCACTTAGGCGGTTACACGCCAATAAAAAAGAAGATTTCTAGATTAGTTTTGCTTTGATATCTACCGACGCAGTTGTTGTCGAGACCAGTCATTATAGCAACTTTTTTTATAGGAAAGTTTGTCTGGACAAACAAGAAATTCCTCTAAATAAGCTTAAAAAAATCTTTAAGAATGCCATGCGATTTAAGATTTAAAAAAATCCTCGAAAGTAGGTTTTAGTGAAATGCATACATATTAGTGTATTTAAATTTAGATTTGTAGTATGAAAATTTATTTCATAGTATATAGTAAATAGTTTTAAAATAAAATATAGTAATCTGAAAAATTCATGTAATTTTCTTAGCTTATAAATTCAAAAAAAGTTTATCTACTAAATTTTTCTTACGTTTTCGAACTTTGCTGAGTGGAAGTTAGCAAAAGCGATCGCTCTGGTCAATTTATCTTTCAAGAAAAACTTGTCTGCACAACGTATATTATTAAGTTCACTTTGAAGCCGCGTTGAATCGACACACTTAAGTAACATTACAAGTAAACGTAGCGCCATCATTTGCGTATTAAAATCTCCAACAAAGTCGATGGGAAACCAAATACAAGCTCTAAAAATACATGATCATATAAGGAGGTGTTGGTCCATATTTTTCAATACTTATGCAATGTTACCTACATAATTCCACTTTCGAATTTCGCCAACTTTTCGAGAACCTCTGGTCGTACGTTATTTAAAAGCTCATGTATCATTTCCAATAATTGGTAATGATAAGAGATTATGCCTTTTGCTTTGTGTTGTAGACAACCTATCATATATGTTACAGCTGAAGGCAAAAGTTTTTCAAATTGATCGCGAATACCCTCATCTTGAGTACTAATATTGGACTGAATTTTCTGTTAAGATATAAAAGTTAATCAAACGATCTTTTATATTAGGAATAATATAATCAGTATTCAAGTTTACCAAATATAAGCTCAGCCACATTATAATCAACTTGCAGGCTTCCATTTGCTTATGCCGCAATGCGCGCTCAAGTGCTCGAAATCCCAATACCATATCGTAAAACAATTTTTTTTTCTTGGAAAAAAAGTTATTACTTAACAATTTCATATGCGAATTTATATGTATTTGTATGTGGCAGTGGCTCACTGCCTATTTCGGCAAGCACCTACCAAAAACTTTTACCACGAATAAAAACTAACTGAGAACTGGTTAACTTAAAAAAATGTTGATTTGTCCGGAACGACCCAGATTTATATAAGGCTTGTCACTCCAGCAACACTTCCGAAAACTCTTTGGGGAATTTGTATATTGTTACAACAACAACAAGTCATGCCACCCGCAAAATATCCGGCTCGCAGTAAGCCGTTTATAAAAGTAAATAATCAGAAGTGGCGCCTTAGGTTTTCTAAAAAGCAATTAAGTAATACTCTGCATTTTGTAAGGCGGTTATATTCCCCAATGAGTCCAAATTAATCATTTGTGGACCTGATGGATCCTCATATATTTTGGCGTAAGCCAAATTCAGAACTGCCAAAACATTTTAAGGCCACAGTCAAACAGGGAGATGCCTGTATGTCCGCCTAGAAACTTACAATTTATAGAGACAACGGATAAAATTTAATACCTCGAAGTCTCGACTGAAAGTGATGAGAGACTGACCATTCGTGAGGTCTGTAGATTTTATCAATCCCCGTAGCATAAGTCGGGTTATATTGTACAGATATGGCTGATTTGGAACTGTCAGCAAGTTATGCAGCCACCGACAGTATCCCGACATGAACGTAATCGAAAATTTATCAGCCATTTTGGATGCTGGTTGAGGAATGGAGCAGATGGATCCGAGTATGCTGAAAATGGTGGGTACGGTTTAGTTATTTGTACAACGATTTTGGGTTGCTGTGCCCATACGCGTGACCCGAATCAAAAAACAAGAGTCTACGTGTTATTTAAAAAAGAAAATTTGCTATATCTGTGCACTAATTTATTAATAATTTCAGTTTGAAACATGGTATTTTTTGCAAATTTCCGAGCTGAGCTGTTAAACACAAAAAATATTCACGAAATATTTCTGCAAAAGATGTTGTGCCCCTCTTCTTCGGTAACACAGAAAGGAGAATTCTACTTAGTGAGGGTTACAGTATTATATGGGACAGTCCTGTTTTTTGACCAATTATCCTGGTAATTTATTTATTTTATACGGGACGCCTAATGCTCTGTATTGCTTTTAATGTCCTGTTTGGCTATTTTACTTTTGTTTATTAAACGTTTACTATTTTTTATTAAAGTAAAGAACTTTTCCCAGCCATATAAATCCAGATTTATGACTTTTTGCATAAACTATGAAAATTAATTCTGCAAAGTTTCATCAAAATCAGAATCTTAAGAAAAAATTTGATTTGCAGTTTTGTAGCTCATTAAAATTTAGTACAATAAAAAGCAACGTACTGCTCATTTGCTCCCCTATAAAAAATTTGTAACATACATACTTTGTATGAAAAAAATGCGTAACACTTTCAACAAAAAAAAAAATTGACAAAACTCTACGGTAAGTTTTAGCCACTATAAGCTTGCACTTTAATAATGATACATAGGCGCTTACATGCCGTTCCAGGTGACCACCTTCCAAAAATTTATTATTGGAGAAAACAGCTTTATAATTTCTAAGCGCGGCCGAAGGACGCCTACGCATAAAAATGTTCTCTGTAAAAGGTGTTCAGCCCCTCTTCTTCGGCAATACAGAAAGAAAAATTCTACTTAGTGAGGGTTATAATCTTTTTGAGAAAAATCCAAATGTCCCCTATCAGCTCCCAAGTGGCCTGTGGCGGGTGAGGGGGCGACTTCATAAAGCGCGGTCCATCCCCTTTCGTTAAGGGGGCTTAAGGGGGAAACCTGCACCCCCTCCGCCCCCACCTCAAAATCGTTGTACAAATAACAAAGCATTTCCCAAAATTGTTGTTGACCATAAAGAATTACTGACATATTTTTCAATCCTTTCGTTATTAGAATTTATTAAAAAAATATTAAAAAAAACAGTAAAAGATTAAATGATCTGAATATAAATAACTGGGTTGACAAAATAGAAATTGGATACGTATATTTTTTTTGTTTTTGTATTGGAAACTAAAGTTTTTGCTAGGTGCCGGTCGTTGTTAGCGGAGCTAATTATTACTGATAAGCTGAGCTAATGGAACACCTAAAGGATAGGGACCGTTGAGCTAAAACAAAGTGGGTGTGGCCCGCCGCCCTTTTCCTGATTTTTACACAATTTTTTTTTTTTTGTGCAAATTGACAGGGGCGGCGCTAGGAGGCGTAAACGCAGAATTTTCAATATTTTCAAAAGCTTATATTTCGAAAACTGTTGAACCGATTTCAAAAATATGGACACAGTTTACAAAGTAATTGAAAGACCTCTCATTCGATACTATATCTATATATATTATATATATATATAT